CTCTCTCTCTCTCTCTCTCTCTCTCTCTCTCTCTCTCTCTCTCTCTCTCTCTCTCTCTCTCTCGTGTGCGCTCTTAGTCTCAGTGCTTTGGCTACTTTAGGGCTGTGTTCCCCGCGCCCACGCGGTAGGCAGGTAGAACCTGGCTGTGGCCCTGGGTGGACCAGCGCAGGGCAGTGGGTAAGGGTCCCACGCACCGCTGGTCTGTTTATTTATTTATTATTTAGAAAACAAAAGAGAAATCCATAAACCACCCTTCCTCTATCTCCTTAGGGAGCCCAAATATAGGGGCCAAGTCCCACTTACGCCGATCGTTCATTTCTGGCCGTTGATCTTCCTAATGGTCGGAAATTGAGAATTCGGGTAGGTGGGACTTGGCCCCAGGTCTAGTTTTGTACCGGACGCAAAGTGCGGGCACGGTCGAGACACTGGACACTGGGGGGCTAACGACTTTCTTTTCCCTTTTGAGGGTTGGTAATTATTCTCTTGGGGGTTTATATAACCGTAGTAGGAGGATGTGGAAAGTTCCAACTACCACGGGGAGTAATCCATACATAGGGCCGCGCCGCACTGAGCACGGAAGGCACAATAGAAAGACCAAAATAACGGTATTGCATCTTTCCATGTTGTAGCAGAAGATTCATTCACATTTGGTGCGCCTGAGTCGACTGATACCACGCTGGGCGTGGGGGCGCAGCGAGGACGGCGGGCGTTTCGACGAAGCAGGCAGGTCGCTGCCCCTGCCCCTGCCCCTGCCCCCGCCCCCCACGACACGGTTCGCGGGGGGTGGAAGGGGTAATGCCTAAAAGAAATAGAAATACCAAAATAACGGCTTTGCATCTTTCATGTTCTAGCAGAAGATTCATTCACATTTAACTCCTTTGGTGCGCCTGAGTCGATACTTCCGGGACTACCGTAGTCCCCAAGCACGGACGGTTGGAGAGCGACCGCTTGCTTCCCCGGGCCGAACTGAAACTGAAATTCCAGTACCTGATAAGAAAACGAAAGAAGGGAAAAAAAAAAGAAAAAAAGCAAAAAAGAAAAGAAAAAAAGAACAGAAAGTCCAGTACCTGTGAGCCTAACCCGTCTTCACCGGAATAAAAGGCACGGTCATTATAGCTGTATTTGACGTATTTTTCTGTCCAGATACGACCATAATTACACATGAACTGTTGCACGGATTGCCTCGGATCACATTCTGGACCTGGATCATAGACTGGACCTGAACAGCCACAAGGACCGAGATCACATACTGGACATGGACCAGAGGCTGTACCTGAACGGATTTCTAGACCAGGTTCACATTTTGTGCATGCACGACCGGGTGGACCTGGATCACATTTTACACTGGGACCACCACAGGCTGGAAACGCACCTTTTTGTGACCATAGGATGCTGCTGTGTCTTCGAGCAGGGACCCAGTCCCACTACGGTACCAGCGTCGAGTGTCCTCAACCCCCGAATCTGGACGTGTCTGTGGAGATGTGCGTTAGAGGAAACTCAACGCGATATTCTGCATCTGTCCTACAAACACGTCCGCATTCGGGCGTTGACAACGCTGCACCGGTAGTGTGACTTGGGCCCAGTCCAGTCGTTCGTTCGCTGATCGGACCGTAGGGGCATAATGAAGCCTTGGAGTCCATAGACCCATCTGGATCTGCAGAGGCTACCCTTTGGCTTTTTGGTCGGACGCGTGTTTTCTCCTCCTTTGTCACCTCCCCTCACCTCCCCTCCCCTCCCCTCCCC